CAACCCCTTAAAAGTTTTGCCTCATCCTCCGCAATCACCCCCAAAGTTGCAACTAAAATGGACCGGAGGTAGTATGTATGTTTTAGAAGAATTATTCAAAGCATGCACTCATCCAAATCCAAATGTTGCAAAAAATTCCATGCTTTTAAAATAAGAACTCATTTAATTCTTCATCTCCAATACAGCTAAGCATCATATCTCTTGTCTTCCCTTTGTGCTCAGAAACATGCACGTACACTAGTAGTAATTGGTCCAACGAACTTTGCCTTTTTCTAGTTATGGGGTTCAATTTATACTTGACCAACCAATTTTAGAATACACTACTAGTCTACATTATAGTATTCTACAACCTCTCAAATCTAGCAATTTGAGCAAGTTTTATATTTGTGATAGTGACTTCTTCTATGATAATAAAATCATCTACATAAAAGCTAAACATTGTAAGCATTGCTACTTACCAACAAGAATTGGCTCAAGTGGTAAGCAATTTGATGTCGTTTAAGGGAGATTTCAGATTCGAGCCTCACCGTATACAGAAACTCTTGTTAGGAGACTCACTCACCATAAGCCAGGTGTGCTACCCGAGTCGGATTCGAATGTAGTCGAAGCTAAGCTCCGGTGAACCGGATGGACATCCTAAAAAACAGGTAAGCATTGCTACTTATAAACTACTAAAATATATTACTCCCTCCGTTTCACTTTATTAGTCCCATATAGAATCAATCACAAAAGATAAGAGAATGAATAATATTTGGAATCTTACATTTTAGTACAAAAATTGCTTAATTAGTTCTATCTTATTAAATTTTCTGATTTTCTTCTTTGGAAAGCATTAATTACAATGCTTGTTTAACGTGAGGAATATCAATCAAATGCCATGTCATCAATCCACTAATGGGATTGATGACCAATTAGAATATTTAATTACTGCCATGTCATCAATTCACTATGGGATTAGAAATTATAAGACCAAATTAGGAAAGTAAAATAAAATTAAAAAAAAGGAATAGATTCAATCTGGGTAGATCATTTTGAAACGCCCAAATAGTACATAGGACTAACATTATAAAACGGAGAGAGTAACAAGTTTGGATGAATCGGAGTAAAACATAATATAATATCATTATATAACCCTTATGTCTTTTGAGTCAAGCATAAGTGAAACGAGTGTCTCATGTCGTAGTAATATGATGTTCTCAATTAGAGGTGTCAAACCCGAACCGACCCAAAAAAAATTATCCGTTTTGAACTGTAACCGATCCGATTTGATCCGAGAAATTCAAGACCCAAACCCGATCTATAACCGAACTGAACTCAACTCGAATCCGAACTTGACGCGATCTGAACTTAACCCGGCACCGATTTGATCCGACCTGAACTCAACCCGAATCCGATTTGACCCAACCTGAACTCAAACCAAACCGATTTGACTCGACCTGAGCTCAACCCAATCCTAAATTGACCCGACAAATAACCGATCAGATCCGATCTGTTTTGACCCGAACTGATATTAACTCGACCCGATTTTAACTCGATTTGATTTTTACCCGATCCGAATTTAACCTGACCATAATTAATTATTGACCTTTTTATTCAAGTTCTTATACTATATATTTACTAATTATTAATAAGTTAACTTTTTTACTACAAAGAAATAGTCTGGAGTCTTAAGTTTACTACAAACCTATCACGTAAGACAATCTGACCAAAAAGTAGGTGGGTCCATATAAAGAGCTCTCTCTCTCGAGAGCTGATACACATACAACCATTGTATGTTGTCCATACATACAACACCATTAAAATTTTGACACATCATCAGAAAAAGGGAGAAAATTAGAAGTCAAATATAAATTGAATATAATGGAACTTGGGCCCATTATTCTAGCCAATAAAAACATGACAAATTAGAGTTGTATGTACGGACCACATACAACAATTGTATGTGTAGCCTTTACCCTCTCTTCCTATCTCTCTCCTTTTTTCTCTCTTTACCATGTGTTTTTAGAATATTTTAATAATTTTTATGCATTTACAAATACATAACATTCCTTCATTACTACTTCCTCTACAACTGTGCATTATCCTAGAATTATAGGCACATCGTACGGTTATATACACACTACATACATATGCAATAATTTATGCTCAAATAAAAAGAAAGTACATAATAACAATTAACTATCAATATGTATAATGTCAAGTTTTTAATATAAAAATTGAATTAGTAATAAAGTAATTCTAACAACTCTAACAAATATCTTATACAAATTGAATTAGTAATAAACTAAACTAATAGTACAGAACTTATAACCTCGTAAGATTGTACAATTGATGAAGAGTTGTAACCTTGTAATAACCTTAAAAAATTGATATTCTTTTTTGTATATATCACCATATGTAACTATTACTCGTCAATATATCATTGGCTCGGTCTCACTTATATATGTATGATAAGTTATCGATAATTATTCAATCTCAATTTTTCTTTAAGATAAAAATTATACATAACTTGATCAAATTAGAAAGCTAAAACTTCGTGCTTCGTAATTAATAATCATATTGAACCAATAATAAGGTAAAAACTCAATAATATCTCTAGATTAAAAATAACCTTATTTGGATATGAATTTGGTCAGCTTGACCGAAATCCAGCCAAACACAAAAAGGAATTGAATCGAAACTGACCATTTAATGAATCAACGGATCAACCTTATTTTAATCAAACCGAACTTGACCGAACCGAAATCAACCCGACCCGAAGTTATCCGGTTAAACCCATTTTAAACCCGATCCAAATTTATCCAAAACGAAAGTGAACCGATCTGGAGTTGACCCGACCCATATCCGACCCATATTCGATAGACCATGACCCGAACTTGAACCGACCCGAATCCGACCCGATCCGACCCGATCCGAGTTAAAAGGATAATTTTGATCCGAACATATCCGACCCGAACAGACCCAAACCGAACAGATCCGACCCAAACTCTATCCGGTTATCCGAATTGACACCTCTATCCTCAATACGTAAATACGAGTTCTTATAAACTTTGTAAAATTTGTATCAGAAGGGGAGAAAAAAATAAAAGTTACTTCCTCACACTTTCTATTTTAATCCGTAACATATTCTCTTTATTTTCTCATATTACCCTCATATTATTGATCTCAATCCAAAATTATATTGCTCTCAATTAAAAAACGGATGGTCTTACTTTATTCTCCAAAAAAGATGGTCCCAATGTATTCTAATGGTATTAATGTAATTTATTCCAATACTCCTCTATCCTTTACATAAAAGATTCCAAATGGATTGAACATATTGAAATGGAGAGTATTTATTACTCCATCTGTCCTTAAAAAAACGACTCTTTTGACCAAATTTTAGCCTCAATATTTTCATCTCATTTGCATTTAAATATCCTCCAATTTACAATAATATTTGTGCAAAATTAAGGGCCTGTTCTCATTGACTGAACTGAACTAAACTGAACTGAACTGAGCTGCACTGAACTAAACTGAATATTTTATAAGAGAAGGAAATTAGGAGCTGAACTGAACAGCTGAACTGAATGAACTGAACTGAATTTTAACGTAAGAGAACAGGGCCTAACATCTATGTATAAATTTTGTTTTTTCTATGTACTTTTATTACTTTCTCTCCGCTTTTACAAATCTCATGTAAATTTTCCTTTTCAATGTACTTTTATTAGTTTCTCCATACACTTGTACTTCCAACTTAAGTTTCTTAATATCTGTGAAAACTTTCCATAAGGATTGTTCTTTTAGGGACGGAAAGAGTAGTAAGTACACCATTCGTCCCACAATATAGTTTCTATTTTTCAATTTTGGAGACCCAAATATTGTTCCTGTTTCTATTTTTGGATAATATGTAAAGACCATTGTACCCTCGTTTTTTAAAATTTTATTCATTAAAATTCTTAATTTACCCTTAAATTGTTCACTTGCATTGCACTTTATTTTACTTTTTTTCTTTAACTTTTGTCTATAATTGTACTTTTCACCTTTTTCCTCTAAAATTATCCACTTCTCTTGTACTTTTGTCTAGCTTTTTTTTTTTCCACTTTTAACCTACCTTTTCCACTTCTTCTCCCATTTTTTAAATACCATGAAAAAAACATAATAATAACTGTATTATGAGACGGAGGGAGTACGTAGTTATCTTTGCTGGTGTTTTTTTTTTTAGAGAAAAAAGCTTTGCCACATAGATTTACAACATAAAGCATATACTCCGTTCAACAACAACAAAAAGCAGAATTAAGGAATTGCTGAACATTTATTGAAAAAGACATTGATAAGTATGATAACCAACTTACCAACATAAAAGGACCAGAGGTAATGTTTCTTACTAGTATTACTTAGAATAAGCAATCATCAAGGCTAATAATGTAATTTTATGAGAGTGAGGGATAGCTCAATTGGTTAGAGTTTTCCTCCTAATTTTATTAGATTTTGGGATCGAATCACACCCTGTTATTGTTGGCTCTCTAAACACCAGAAAAATATGTAACTCTATATCATATTATTGTCCATCTATACGGCTAGACATATATAAATAAAGGTGCGTTAAATTGTTCATACTAACCCTAAAAGATGTAACTTTTATGTGTTATTACGTCATTCAATCCTTATTGTTCTTCTCTATTGGAATGTTTCTTTGGGAAAAAAATTCTAAGTGGGAAGAACAAAAATGTGTAGAGGTAGATTTTAGTAATCTTAATCTCAATTTCACAAGAAACAAGCGTTATATACTCCTTTGGTAATAATTGCGCATACTTTTAGAAAATTATAGGGTGGAGACTAAAGGGAGATATTTATGATATACGGAGTATAGTACAGTTGGTACTTGGTAGGGGTATACTTTGTATGTATATTTTTTTTTTTGAATAAATACTGCGTATGTATTTAGTTGTTAGAAGGAGAGAGAAATAATATTATAAAAAATGATGTAATGTATAGGAGAGAGAAATAATAAAATGAACATTCTTACCAAATAAAAAATATTGCAATTATTATATGACATAAAATGAAAGTGTTGTGATTATTTTTACAAAACAAAGGGAGTGTATGTATAATAACAACCCTCAAAATTATCTACTTCAACAAGTATATATATTGGAGTAAATCGCCAAGTCATCAACCACCCATCATATATTATAAATGTATAATGCTGAGCTTTTTTCAATTTCCTAGTGCAACAAACAAGTAAAATATTTGTATAACCTAAGTTATTTATATAATTAGCCATAACTTAGCTAACTCATAATTAAGTCTTGTAACTTAGCCCCTCTCTATCTACATGCATCTTTAGATGCTTAAAAAGAAAAACAAATTGTGAAGAGAGGAGTTTATATTAGAAAACATAATAAAGCCGGTTTAAAATCATAGATTGAAGTGTATAATTTATGTTAAACTAATAAACTTATGAGCATGAATTTTGTAGATCAAGAAGGGTTTCCCACCCCAAGAAAATCAATGAAGTTAACCTCTTTGGTGTTACTCGCCATTGCACGACCGCATCCTCCATCCTCGAGCGCTTCTTCTTGTAATGATGATTGCCTCATTGCAGTTGTTGTTGTTGTTGTCGTCTTGCTTTGGTTGACTAATGGAGCAAAAGCAGAAGGAATAGTACAATAATTGACTCCATAAGACGAGCCAAACCCTATTCCACATGAAAACCTTGCATCAAAACCATTTGAGTGATCAAATAATGAGCTATTAGTACTACTATTACTTCTTCCAAGCCAATTTCCTAGTAAACATTGTGGATGTATCGTCGAAGATGATGCCCTATAAGTCCCCTTGCTTATACATGGTCTCGGAAAAGTCAAGCATGCCATTGTACTAGCTTTATTCTTTATCTCCTTGTTTAAATCATGTTCAAACTTGTACAATTCGCGACTATGATCATTATTCTTTAGGGTGCCATGATATTTCCATGTTTTTGAGAGAGGATCATGGGTTGATGAGGTGGTAGACGACGAAATACTAGAACTAATTAAGCTTGATCTCTTGTTTGATTGTTGCTTGGACCGCTCCCTTTGCATCCTAGCCATGATAACGTGCCAATGGTTCTTGACGGCATTGTCTGTTCTACCAGGGAATAGCCGCGAAATTAATGCCCATTTGTTCCCATGGATCCGGTGGGCGGTCAAAAGCCGTTCTTCCTCCTCTTCTGTGAAAGGCTTCCTATTGATTCTTGGGTCCAATTGATTGAACCATCTTAACCTACAACTCTTCCCTAAAAAACAAGTTTAAAAAATATATTTTTTTAAAAAAAAGAAATTGATCAAGACATGTTTTCAATATATAATCATCTATTTTAGTGGATTTTTTTAGGAATAAGTACCTTTCGGATAAATCTATTTCACTTAATCACAATAAAAAGCAATTCTCTAGAATTATAACTTTCTAATTATAAACCTAGTTAGGATGCTTAAATTTTACATCAACGAACCCCATGCACATATTATATAAACTATAGATTAAAAAAAATTGATGTTCTGTCCATTTCAACATCTTACAAAATATATGAACAAAGAAACTCTTAAATTCATATTGACTCCAAAAACCTAATTTTTTAAAAAAGTAAAATACATGGAAAATTAGAAACGTCTTCTCACAAGACCATAACCTAACTTATCTAAAAGTAAAACATAATTAAGAAAATTTGCTATCCAAAAACCTAATTAATATGTTCATAATATGATACACAAAACAAGAAAATTCGGTTTTAAAAGAAATATATAGAGGAAATAATTATTAGTGATTTATCAATAAGTTGATATGGTGATCAAAAAATTATTACTTCATAGTAATTATATATAAGTTGATCTAATGAACAAAAAATAAATAAATTATATCTATAAGTTGATCTAATGAACAAAACAAGCAAGCACATAACATACCTGATCTTCCTTGAAGCTTTTCAGCTATGGAATTCCAATTCTGAGGGCCATATTGCTCGACGAGTTTTCGAAGCTTTTCGTCTTCAGCTGGTCTCCAGTGACCTCTAGGACAGGTGTTTGAAGATTTCATCATCTCATTATCACTTGAATTTCTTCCAGAATCCTCCATCATAATTAGTTATCAGTGTAATTTAAGAGATAAATATAGGTTTATTATTATGTTATATGATGAGAATAATATTAATGTTATTAAGCTTTGTTATGATTGTTTCTTTTGACTTTTAAAATAGAGAATTGAATATAAGAAGTAGATTGGAGAGAAAAATAAATCAAGTGTAGTAAAGTAAGAGAAGTATAGGTTAAGATATAAAAAAGAGGGAGAAGAAAGAAAATTGGTTAACAGAATAAGAAAAGTGAGTAGGTTGTGTTTTTAGGGTTGTGGATGGGCAGTCACTTTTGTTGTTTTCTCACGACATTATTTTTATTTTAATTATTTCATTTTTCATATTTGTCAATTTATATATTTCATTATCTATATCTTTGATTTTTTTTAGGTATTCTAAACTTATTAGTTCTTTTCGTTTTCCGATTATAAAATGATTAATTTGAATAGTTTTCTTATTTGGAAGCAATCTCACTTGGTAAATATATGTGCCAAAAACTTTATTACTTTTTTCAGTTTACCATGCAATTTTTAAAACCATATTTTACTAATTGAATTTTTCCATGCATGATTTTAAATTTTAATCATCATTTTCTCTTCCCAATCCTCATATTAATTCATTGTCCTTATTTTCTCAATCATCTCTTTGTTTTGAAAAGTGGTACTTTCTAATGTGAAAACTAGAATCTCTATTATCTTAATCATATCTCCATCACTAAAATTCACTTTTCTTAATTTACTCCAGCATAATTCCAAATGGAAAGAACACATAGGATTGGAGAGATAACTATTATTTATAGAGAGAATTTTTATAACATTACAAATGACTATGTTTTTCCTTACTTCTAATTACAAAACACTTTAAAATAAGTGTGTGCGTGAACCGTACAAAAATCAAAATTGGTCATGTTACAAAAAATAGAGGAAAGTATATATCTTAGTTATGTTGGACCATCGTTATTCTTGCTATCTTTAGACATGGTTAAGGTTGACAATATAGTTAAGGTTATGTCATCTATGAAAACAAGTTAGTGACTACTATATGCGTGCTTGCAATGGCAATAATTTAATTGCTGACAATAATGTTTGGTATGTTTTCAATTGTTTTTTAAAATTGAAACTAACTTAAGTTATTAGGAGGAGTATCAGATTATGACTATTTTGTCTATTTACGATAAACATTATTGTCAAAGATTTTTCTTATATTATTTATATTGTGTATATTCTACATGTTGAAAAGTAAAGAGTTTTGTCTAAGTCAAGTTTTAACAACATTTCTTATGTGCTGACATGCATGTATGGACTGACATTATATTAATTTCCACTAGAAAAGAAAAATAAAATGCTAATTACATTAATCTAAATGTCTCTCTATCTTAGGAATAGAATTTTTGCAGCTTTATGTAGAATTCAATACTAGGATACTCGATTACTATTGTAGTCTATTAGTTAAAAAAAGACAGTTAAATATATGCATTATGACTAAACCAATAATTAATATTTTACATAATAATTCCATATTTATATGAATAATTATGAAAAAAATTTAGTCAAAATTATGATATGAATTATGCAACAGTCAAACTAATAATGCACTTATAAAATCAAAGGGAATTCCTTCTAATAACAATTTGCTAATTTTTTGTGGGGAAAATTTTATATTGGTGTTAATCCTACTGTTAATCATTTGGTTCGAATCCAGCAGATTAATTAGTACAAATAAAAATCAGGATGATATTTTGTTTGCCTCAGAATATACTCGTATGTATCATGTGACTGATTTTGAGAACATACATATACATTCCATATTTGGGTTAAGTACATAATTCAAATTGGGCAATTTGATTTGAGTCAATAGTTTGTACAATCAGCAACTTTTCTGTGTGGTAGGTGTTAATCATATGATCGAGTTACTTATTAAGAGGTTACTGAGTTACTTATTTAGGGCTTACTTGTAAAAGTTACTTATTCAAAGGTTAGTCAGTTGAATTGATTAACCGTTTTCTGTGTTCGAGTAACCCCTAACAGACCGAATAACCCTTGAATAAGTAGCCCCTAAATAAGTAACCCTTGTAATTTACCCTAGATCAAACAAGTAACCCGGCCCCTGAATAAGAACCACTCCTGCCAAACGAGTAAACCTAGAATAATTAACCCCTACAAGTAACCCCTGTCCAAATGAGTATAGGGATGTCAACGGGCGGGGCAGGGCGGATATTAGCCTTCTTATCCCCATCTCCATCCCCGTGGCGGGTTCAAAATTCATCTCCATTCCCGCCCTAGCGGGTACAATTCCAAAATCATTCCTGCCAGCCCCCCACTTGGATATCCATCCCCATCTAAGACCAGACTAATCCCCACCTCCTAATACACAATCCAACATAATTAATATAGACTACAAAAAAATTATTATTAATATTAATTGCACACATCTTAGTTATAATATTTTTGCATTACATATGATTATATCTACTATTTTATTTTACTTGATTTCTTTTTATATAAAATGGAATAAAAATATATAGATGTGGTGTGAAGTGGGAATGAAGCGGATGCGAAGTGAGTCGAGGCGGGGCGGGGAAGAGGATGGGGCAGGTACAATGTAAAATCCACCCCCACCCTATCTCCCATGGTGGATATGATTTTTATCCCCACCACCGTACCCGCCAAACCAAGACCCATCCCTGCCCCACTAACATCCCTACGAGTAATCCTCTATAAGTAACCCTTGTCATATGGTGTAACCAGCCACATATAAAAAAAATTGAGTTGTACAATATATAATCTTATAAACAAAAGACATTCATATAAACACAATACAATTTTGACATTGCTTAACAAGAAAATCACATACACCACTACATTAAACATTTGGAGACTCGAGATACGAAAAAAAAACCTAATAACAATACATCCTCCGTTTTAATTTGTTAGTCCCATATACTATTTTGGGCGTTCCAAAAAAATTTACCCATATTAAATATATTCCACTTTTAACTTAGTTTTTATTTTATACATAATAAACTCTGATTGGTTAAATTAATTGATTGCGAATTAATGACACGACTCTAAGTAAAATAAATTAATCCCTTGATTAATTATGCAGTTATGGCTAATGCTTTCTTTAAAAAATAAAAAAAAATTAAATAAGGTAAAAACTATTTATGAATTGTTTTTTACTCTAATGATAGATTCCAAATATTCTCTTTTTCTTATTTTATGTGATTGATTCCACATGAGATTATTATATTGAAATGGAGGAAGTAATATTATTATATTATAATGGATTGATGGTACATCTTTGATATTTTTGTGTAGAATTGTTAGTTGATGTATATTTCTTTTAACTGGGACATGTTCTTGAGAAATAATACTGAGTCCTACTTTTTAAAAATTTTGAATTAAAAGTCTATTCACTTCAATTTAATTTCAGTTAAGTTCAATTCAGTTCAGCTCCAATCAGTTCAATTTATGTGAACAAACCCTAACTCTTATTACTAGTATTTGAAAGCAACTACATCTTCTAAAAATATTTAAGTTACCAGTATTTATTTTTCTATCCTCATTAATTTTAATTACCTTTTTTTAAAAAAACTTTTAAGAATAGTGTGAGACATTTATGCCCCAAAAATATTTTATTTATATATGTTTTTATCATGAATACTGTCTATAACTAAAGTTATAACATATGATCAAATGGAAAGAGTTCCCCTAATTTATGACTAGCTTTAGGCAACATAATATGTCTAAAATTTCCAATCTGCGGGATATATATATATATATATATATATATATATATAATCACCAAAAAAAAAAAAAAAATCACCAAACAAAAATTCCACATAAAAAGTCCAAAAGTGACCTCCAAATAGAAGTTTGCATATGCCCTTTATAGCCAAATAAATACCTAATAATATTAATCTCAAAATTCTTATTGAACCAAGAAATCTCATTTATTTAGTAAGAAGTATTAAACTACACATTCAAGAAAATCCATAAACAACCTTATTTAATTAGTATATGGAGTCATATATTTGGTCCATTTTGACACTTCATGATTCATTTTGTTGATTTAAACGGAACTTATAGTGGGTGGTTGGCTCTATTTTCCTAACTAATATTATCCCAAAATCAACGTTCACATATTTAGCTTAGATTTTATGTGGATGACGTATATAAAATTTACTTGAAGTGCCCCATAAGATTATATAGTTGTATATGTTTATGGAATTATCAGTCTTCTACAAAAACTAACTTAATAAGGGTTAAATAATGTTTAAGATTTAGGGCTTGTTCACTTCAGCTTAAGTTCAGTTCAATTCGGTTCAGTTCAATTCACTTCACTTCAGTTTGGCTCCTAATTTCTTTTTCTCATAAAATATTCATTTCAGCTTTATTCATTTTAGTTCAATTACCTTCCAATCAGTTCAGTCAATAATCTATTGTTCGCATTGTATCATTATAAGTCGTATGTACTATTGTATTGTGATCAATAAAAATATTATTAGATTTGTCTAAATGGGCAATCTATTAACTAAACTAAAACAAAATGTTGCTGACATCATCATTTCTTCAAAACATGTCACTCTAATATAATTTTTTTTTCTTGCCAATTTGCTATGAGATGATTTCATTAGTTTATTTTATTATTTTTTTTATCTAATAAACATTTTATATGCTTTATCCTTGTCCCTACCAAGTTTTTATTTTATTTACTTTTTTACAGGTATATTAATATTTCAAAGTTTAAAAGTGTTCATTATGACTTTATATATATATATATATATATATATATATATATATATATATATATATATATATATATATATATATATATTTACCATGTATACAAAAAAATTATAGAGTAGAAACTTTCTTTCTCCGTATTTTAAACAAATTAAATATTAATGTATTTTGTACTTTTGTACCGTGCATCGCGCGGGAACTAAACTATTTTTATAATATTATAAGTTTTTATATATAATTAATTTAAATATTTGTTAATGGTTTAAAGTAGACCTGGTTATTGGGCGGGTCGGGTCAGAGTCTGTGCGGTCGAGTTTAAGAGGGTCACATTTTACCGGGTCAATATTGAATAAGGCCAATGCGGGTCGCGGGTCAATGGCGGGTCGATAATGGGCGGGCCTATGAAATATCAATTAAAATAAATATTGGACAAAGCCATTATTAAGTACGTATATATGAATAAATCTTTTTTTATGTAATTACTTTATATTACTTTTTTTTATCAATTAAATTGGAAAAACATTTCAGCCCTATATTGACTATACCTAATAAGAGCCCTCTCCATTAAAAACCCTAAGCTTAGCCTTGATCCTATTATCATTGGGTTACCTTATCCAATAACCAGCTCTAGTTTAAAGTGTTTTATAAACCTTGTAAATAAAAATACTAGACATTATATTATAAGACGGAGGGAGCATTACAGAAGACTATAATGACAAGTTAGCTACCCAAATACAAAGGTTAGAAAGTAGATGAAGGTTTAAGATAGATTATGGTTCTCTTGTCAGTACCCTTGCTTTCTGTCGGATGTCATTGAGGTGAAGTATGACAATAAGATAGGGACTTCAACTATACTAATGCTTTATGTTATTGCTTCTTATCATAATATCATGGACTCATGGTTATATACAGGAATAAAACACATTGCTTTATGAGGCCGTCCAGGTTTCTCAAATTGATAAACAACAAACGTTTATCAAATGGCATTCTCGTAATTATTTTGCCTAGTTTTCTGCGAAAGTCAATTATATAATGTAATAGTGGTCCTAGTCCAAGCTGGCAGCGAAGCGACCTTAGTAACGGATAGTTAACGCCTTCGTTAACGGATAAACAACTTTGTCAACACATGGAAGTTACTTTTGCAGAAGAAAGAGAAAATAAGACAGACACTTGAGTTTGAGATTAAATAGTATACATAAACATCCCAAAAAAAATTAAAAATATATATAGGAGCATGCGATTTTGAACTCTTCGAAGCACATAGCAGGCAATATTGGAGGTGTGGAGGAGAAATTGGATTTGTTTCAGGGCTTACAAGGTACGTTCTCCATGGTTATTGATTCGTAGTAATTCTGGAGTGTGGTATGCAATTTGTTTGTAATTGGATCATTTCGAATCTATTGGTTTGTATTTTGGCTGCGTCGGATTGTAATTAGGAGCTTAAATTTGAATTGTTATTATTGGAAGCCAAATATTCAGGTGCTTAATTGTATTCAAAATTGTAGCATGAATTTGTTTACTTGAACCTGTGTTTAGGGTTAAGACGCTTTAATTTTTATTTATTTTAATTTTTAATTTAATGTGCTATGTATAGAGTCGTTTATTTAGAGTGAAGATTGTTGTGTGGGTTGTAGTATGCAATTCTTAATATTATGATTTGGGGGTATTGATTATTAATTAAATCAGGATGGTTGATTTTCATGACAATGTTTGTGGGGATGGTGTCGGAGGAGGAGAATTTGGGGATGATTGTTATGACATTGGTACTGGGGATGGAGTTGGGGAAGGTGAAATTGGCGATGATTTGTACTGTCCTGACTCTGTTGATGATATGTCATTAGATATGTGCGTTCCTCCAATGTCACCAATCCGTGATGGGCAATGTAGTAATGTAATTGAATAACAGGGTATGTTCTGCTCCTTTGGTTGAATCACCGAAAGTGGGGATGGTGTTTAAGTCATGGCAGGATGTAGAGAAGTATTACAAAAAGTATGGTGAGCAGGAGGGTTTTGGTGTTTCAAGGGTGCAAGCAACCAAATCGAAAGTAACCAATGATCGTTTGACCACAACGTGGAAGTGTGAGTGTTGGGGTGCACCTAACATGAGGGCCAAGAGAGAGGCCAAAAAGAGGGCTAAATCAATGGATGTTGCTGGCTGTGGTGCTAAGGTTAATGGAGTTATTGGGGCAGATGAACTTAGTCGAGGGAAGATAAAATCAAAGAAATGCGAATGTGGTGCTACTGTATATGCTGGGGTGAATGCAGAAGGGGAGTGGGAGTTAAGGAAGGTGATTAATGTGCACACACATGATGTTAACCCTAGCATGTCCAAGTTAGTCAAAGAGTATAGGATGAAGAATTACACTGCTAATGTGAAGAAGGTGTTGCTGAATTTTTATGAAGAGGGGGTGTCGGTGTCCAAAATTCGCAAAGGCCTGTCGCATGAGAAAGAGGAGGAGGAGTTGCCCAGCCTTAAGGACATGCAGCATGAGGTGTATAAATCAAGGAGGCTGAAATTTGAGGGAGGAGATGCTAATGCCATGAGGGCGTATTTTGAGCGGATGCAAGAGGATAATCAAAACTTTTATCACACTCATTGGTTAGATGAATTTGGTCGCTTGAAGGACGTTTTATGGGTAGATGCAAGAAGTCGGGCAACATATGAGTATTTCGGGGATGTAGTTTGTTTTGATGCTACATACCTTACTAACCAATATGAACTCCCGTTTGCAAACTTTGTGGGCGTCAACCATCACGGGCAGTTCATCCTTTTGGGGTGTGCCTTAGTGTCTCGAGAAACCACTGAGACATACAAATGGGTTTTCCAGCAGTGGTTGGCTTGCATGGGAAATAGAGCCCCCGTAGCTATTTTGACTGATCAAGCTGCGTCAATGCGCAATGCACTGGCTCAAACGATGCCAACTGCCAGGCACAGGTGGTGCATATGGCACATTGTTAAGAAATTTTCTGAAAAGCTTGGCAAATGCAAGGGGTAAGTTCTGTTATATGATGTCATATTGGTTCATGATGAATAGTGTTCTATCTTATTTGTTGAATTTAACTGTGGGTATGGACATAGGTGTCTATGTTTAGGTACAAAGATTTCAAGAGTCCTTTGAAGGCAATAATATATGAGAGCTTCACTGTAGAAGAATTTGAAAGAAGGTGGTGTGAATGCATGAAAAAAATCAGTCTTGAGGATAATGAATGGTTGGCCTATATGAAGAGAGACACATGTGGATCCCGGCCTTCATGCGCGAATATTTTTGGGCCGGGATAAAGACAACACAACGTGTGGAGAGCATTAACAGTTTCTTTGATGGGTTTGTTAATCGGAAGATGAAACTTTGCGAATTTCCTGTGCGATACACCAGGGCAATGACAAAGAGGTTCCAGGATGAGAATGAAGCAGATGCAAAGGCAACAAAGTACATTTGGCGACTTGTTAGTGGTTTCCGACATGAATCATTTTTCCAAAAGATTTACACTGATGCTAAGTTCCAGGAGATTCAAAGAGAACTATCCCGATTGATGTACTGCTATGACAGGGGAGAACATGTTATTGATGACACAACGGTTCGATATGTGATCAAAGACAGGGTTTGGATAGTACCGGAAGGGGAAATTGAAGAAGTCATTACGGACCGTAGGCGCAATTATGCGATTACGTATAACCATGTTCTGAAAGAGGTCACTTGTGAATGCAGAAAATTTGAAACACATGGTATTCTTTGCTAGCATTGTATTCGTGTGTTGGATTAGAACATGGTCTTCGAAATACCTACAAAGTATGTGTTAGACAGGTGGCGCAAAGATATCGTGAGGAAGCACACAAGGGTCAAGGTTGCGTACCATGACCCCACGCAGACACCCGAGGTTAAAAAATTCAACCTGATGATGAATGCATTTGAGGGGGTGTGTGAGGATGCTTCAGCTGCAGATGAAGAAACCGTACAGCTAGTGATAGACTCCCTGTCTACTCTCCACATTGAAGTGAAGGATAGGAGGCTTAAATATATGGAACTGATTGCTTCGAGTGATTACCCCGTGGTTGAGGATCCACAGTCAGAGATTGGTTCTAACAGCCATACTGTTAATGGACAGTCCCTTCCTTCGCCGTCCACCATTCCCAATGTTCTTGACCCTGTGTGTAAAAAACGCCGTCGTGGTAGACCAAAGGGTTCTCCCAACAAAGCCTATTCAGAAACTGCATACAAGCAAGTTAAGCCACGAAAATCAAAGGTATGCCTTACATGATCACCCAACTGTCTTAATATTTGATGATAAGCCACAAGGTCCTTATGGTTTTATGCATTTTGTTAGGCAAAACAAGCTTTGGAGTACGGGCAGTTGCAGGTATATCTGATGGTATATTTGTTATGACCATATTGTTGACACTTATAGTATGTGTTCTAACATTTTGGCATTTTGCATTACATTACATTTACAGGATGATGATAACATCCACCTTCCACAACCTGATGTAGGTGGAGACAGTGTATGCCTATCAGATGATGAAGACGTGGTGTTTGACATTAACAGTATTGATTGCACTGGTGGTTTTTCCGATGCGTTTTGAGGGGTGCCTATACATGCGGCCTGCCATGTATTGGAGTAGAACTAATGTAATAATAATTGGGCACTGTGTGTAATGGCCCAAATGTTAGGATTCAATCTTGAATGGATGACACATCTCTGTTTGACATAAATGGGCCATTAATATTCTGAAATTGGGCCATTTATAACTAAGTTTTTATAGGCCAATATTTTATCTAACTTTTCGATGGGATCAATTGCATTGTGTAACTCATGGGCTGTATTTAAACCAAACCTTTTGAATGAAGATATTTTTAGCCCATTCTTATGTTATGATTGTCCCAAGATTCTAATTCGGTTTATTAATAATCTTATTGGACTGATCTTATGGGCTTAATATAACTCAACTGTTCATTGGCCCAAAACTTAAGGGTTGTTTTAAAGTTGTTTAAGGATTATGACTTCATGGTCTAAATATAACTCAACTGATTTACTGGGCTACATATAACTCACTGATTATTTGGGCTAAATATAACTGAAATCTGTAATAATACTGTTAAAATTTTGAGAGAACTCACAGTAGGATTCAGTAACAAATAATCACACAACTAATAACCATCTTCATAGACTCATCAACAGGATACACTCCAATTGTTGAAATACAGATAAACAAAATGAGCCCAACCAAAATTAACTAAATGAGCCCAATCAAACATCACATAATGAGCCCAAACTACATTAGTATCCTAATCATAGACTTAAGTTAAACAACCACTAATAACCATTAAAACTAATAGGTCAGGGCAACATAACCCCGTAATCGTTATTGAAATTTACTTAAACCTAGCTTAGCCAAATTTGTAATTTGTCCAGGACACACATATCACTTCTTCAAGGGAAGACAGTAAACACGCTTCAAGCTCCTGATGCCAGCACTGCGGATTGTGTGATTTGGTGCGAGGACCCTGTTCTTGTGCATCAGGACAAGTTGGCTAACATGACATCTATAGATCTCAGCGGCCATGTAATACAGCTTCAACACCTTCATGGTCAACTCAGCCTGGACTGTCAACTTCTTAGATGATCCACTAACGTCACACAGATAAAAATTTCGCAACGCAGCATTCATATTATACTCAGGATCCTGCATTGAACATGTATTAAAATTTTGAACACATAATTTATTAAGCAAATAAGAATCATTAATTCAAAAAATTTTCATAATTTATACCTTTCTGATAGCTAGCACGATCTGACCATTAGTTATACCAACCTCTCCAGCCGTATCAGTAGCCAATGGCCTTTCCAGTACGATTATCAGCCAAGAAAAATTTTGTCTTATAGAGGTCAAGTTTGGCAGCATAATCATCGTAGATATGCTCGAAAGTTTGGCTCTTCGTGATTGTGTACATCACACCAATGTCACCAGGGGTTTGGCTCCTTACAAGGATACCATATTCAGCTTCATCATCAGGCTCATCCTTACCATCGTTCTTCTTTCCCCCACCTGATGAGCTGGATGAGTTGTCCTGAGTCAACCCCAGTCCAGCCCTCATTGTTTGAAGGAGTTTCCTCTTAACACAGGGTGCAACTCGTCCTTCCGGTAGTAGGGGTGCAGCTGATGCAGCATAGCAAAGGCGTTCTGGTTGAGTGTGGCAGCAAGGAGGGTGCTCTTACGCACAGATCTGCTTCTTGATCTTCTTTTTGACCTTCTCTTCGCATGAGGGTCCTGTCCGGAAGAAGAAGGATGCATAATGCCTTTTCCCTTGTCTCCAGCTGGAGATAAGGGTTGACTACGATTCGTAGTTCCATCAGGTTGGGCTTGTTTCTTATCCTTCCTCTTGAACTTGGTGGGGGATGAACCATCACTCAAGTTTTCGCTCATATTTGGGTGAGGGATGACAGCTTTGGATGAAGATGACATGTTTTGCTAGGGTTTTGGATTTGGTTTGTGGTGTGTGTATGGTATCTCAAAGCACATGTTTATATAGTGGGAGATACACAACCTTATTATTAATTAAAACTTTATAAAAAAAAGATTTTGTTGCAAAGCTGCACTATGATTTTTTTTTTTTTCAAGTAATTAGTGGTGATAATAGTGTTCTAAAATTATGTTAGGGTGATCATAGTCTTCTAAAAATAACTTTTTTAAATAAAATAAGATAATGGTTTGAATAACTAAGGAACACATGTTTATTAATTTAATAACTGATATAGCTTGGTTTTTTACTCGCGGCTTTTTTAGCAATCTAACTTAAATATTTAATTACTTAGTTTGTTTTAGAACTTGATAATTTTTGTATAAGATGAAATACAATTGTAATTAAAAATTAAATGTTTTTCGAGTAAACTACATTACGATGGACTACCCAATATCATTCGATTCAATGTGTTGATAAGGACCATGCTTATGTTTCGAGCCCTCTTATGGAATTGTTTCAAAAGATACACTGCGTATCTTTGCGTAAGGTCGAAAATGTAATTCGGGGGTATTTTGTGGTTTATAATTGATGGGCTGCTTAATGCCTTTATGTCACCTTTTTAATGTACACTTGAAAAGGAATTATACTTTTGTATTGATTTGTTGTATTCTTATGCAGTAGACGAAGCAAAGTAAAAGATATTACCTCCTTCTAAATATGATTCGTACACCTAATAATTATTATAAAATAGACCAAGCCCCTACACCCCTACTTTATAGTGAATTGTCATTGTCAAAGCTGCTTTAATCCAGTTTTTGATGCACTACTCTTTTTTTTTTTTTTTTTTTTTTACAGTACTCTTGTTTCAGGCTCTCTTTCCTAGGGGTATGACCAAAGGCTACAAGTTATTGCATGACAGGGGTGGAAGACCATAGTTTTGTAAAAGTCCATTAGGCACCCAAAGCAAATTAGAACATTAGTAATGGTTCTTGTTTATTTATGTCTGTCTTTGTTTAACAAGCATTAAGTTCAGCATGTGTTAAATTAATATTTATTAATACAAATATTAGTAGTAATTAAGGTAAATTTTATAGTATTATCATAATATCATAATTTTAAAACTAAACACATGAATAAGAACTTATGGAATGCTTAACGTTGGGAATTTGTATTTAAGTCCTTCGTTTTATTCTACTACTCCCAAATGGAATGTTAATCATACGAGAAAATTCAAGTTTATCAGGTTGATAAACATTAAATGTTTATCAAATGCCAACTTTTGTAAATAAATAGCTTTGGGATCGGTGACAAATAATAATAAACTGCTCCAGCTACACCTGACATCTAACCTTGGGTTAAAACTTAACCCAACTAGTATTGAAGCTGTAACGACGTTAACGGCTTACAAAATATGCAAATTGCAATGTAATTTAAAGTTTAATTAAATAACTACAGTGTGAGACAAAGGGGGATTGTACAGGTTGAGCTAAGACAGACAAAGGCCAATTCGCCGGATGATGATGACGACCTGTAGATCTTACATGTGGCTTGAAATCTTGAGTTGTGGTTACCAATTTATCTAATTCTTGGTATAGATGAAGGGCGTGCTTAGCTAATACTTGTGACTCATACAATGTTAATTCAAATTTATCTAATCATACAATGTTTATACTTGTTACTCATACAATGTTAATCACTAATTAGCATTTGAATGTCCCAAGTAGCATTTGAATGTGGCAATTAATTAGCATTTGAATGATAATATCTTATAAAATTATATTAAAAAAAGTATTAAAAAATATATTTTTACAATAAATTTATTTTTTAAAAAAATTATTTTAAAAAAAAATTATGTTTTTGATTCTTTTTTATTTTAGTTTTACTATAATAATATGATTTGACTGTTATGGTCGTATGGCTACTTGATTCCCTACCAAACCTAAAATACACAGAGCTGTGCTTGTTTCAATGGCTTCAATTGCTTATGCACGCCTTCGGAACCCTGTAATTTGTTTTTTCAAACCACCTGCTGGGTTACAACCTGAAATTGATTTCAACAATACAATTTACTTGTGTCCTGCTGCAAATTTACCACACAGTCCTTATGTTTCAAAAGAAGTCCTATCAAATTACATCCTGAACCCTCATATGCCCTCATACACCCACCGTAGGTTGAAAATGCGGTTACCAAACATCGAAGGAGAACCTGTACCGGCGCACCTGCCTAACATAGGTGACTGCCATGCACTGCCAAAGAGTATGAAACGGCAACTGGAATGGTGCCTTAAGAACCACCATGGCGTACCTTTCCACCCACTCCACTTGCTCGATCCAGTCCAAGTGCTTGATTTCGCAGCACCAGTCTTTCAACTCCAGTTTGATAGGCTATACCTCTGTATGGCTACGTATACAGATGCCTTGCAGATAGTTGAAGCCCTAATTCACAGCAGTGCTCTTAGTTTGAGGGTATTTTGTAATTGGATTTCGGCTCCATCGTCAGGTTCACCTTATCACACTGTTATGGTAGACCCTATAGGATGCCCTCTCTTTGTTCCTGGGTTGAACCCACTCAATCCTAATACTCGAATAGCTGTGTGGAATGTAAAGGGTTACCCGACCTTCATTCTTGTCAAACTTTGCCCTTCTATCTCGAATTCATAATCCCTCGATCATATTGCTCCTCGAGATCAGGCACTCGGCCGAGAATGTTGCTACCATGATTAACCATCTCCAGGGGAGATACCATCACTATGCCACCCCAGTATCCTCTTTCGACGGGGGATGTGCTCTGCTTTGGAACCCAGATGTAGTTGAAATTCAACAAAGGCCAACATTTGTTCGAGCTGCAATGGTTAATGTTTTCATTCAGGTTGTGTTAATAATTCTTTTTTACACATTAATAGTTTTAAAGTTATTTATATATACGTATATATTCGTTTGTAATCTAATCCAGTTTTCGTGCTTTAAATGTGCAGGGAGTACCATCATTTCTGTCACAAGCACCGTGAAGGAGATGCAGTAGCTAGTATCATCTAAATGTAATAAGTTGTCTTTCTCGAGCTACACATGTTCTGGGCGACTCTAGATTTATGTTTTATTAGAAGTGCCTATTAAATATTTATTTTTAGTTTTTATTTTCCTTTATTTTTCTTGGAACTTTACAACTACAATTTAAGGCTATCGTAATTTTCGAGTACTAACCATAAATTATTGCTAATCTGATAATTTATTACTAATCTAACAAAGGAGAAAATCGAATAGTCAAGCCTTATAACCATCTGATAATTTATTACTAATCTAACGACTAAATTTATAAATTATTGCTTAATTTAAGAGTTAACGGTTCATATAGTCTGAGCACATTATGATTGATAATACCCTATAGTCGATTTAGCACTAAAATTAAATTATTTTCTTATGGTCTCAAACATCTAATATCCAGCTATAACATCCGGTTATAAGCTTAATATATGGTTTTGACTTTACACTAACAAACCCAAGATTTAGTACACTAACAAACCCAAGATTTACCCTAAAATACCGTAATTTACCCTAACATACCCTATTTCACACTTATTCCCTTATATATCCATACTATCACCCTAATAATATACCCTTATATAACCCTTGTATAACCCTAATACACCCTTATATAACCCTTGTAAAACCCTAATATACCCATATGTAACCCTACTATACCCTACAAATACCCTTATATAACCCACTATACCCTAATATACCCATATGTAACCCTACTGTACCCTACAAATACCCTTATATAACCCTACTACACCCTAATATACCCTTATATAACCCTAAAGTACTGTTGTATGCAAAGTTAAGGGTAGTTTTGACTTTTTCCATGGATGACAATGTGACGACGTTAAAACCTATTAACAAAGGAATTGACTCTCCTTACCTTTTCTATCTCCTCAACAAAGGTGAACTTTTTCACGTGTGTGCAAACCCGTTTAGTGAAGTTCTGTTCATCATTTCAACTCAACTCAATGATCAGTTTAGTTCATTTCAGTTTAGATCATTTAAGCTGATTTTAGTAAATGACAACATGAGCTAATATACCCTTGTAACCCTTAAACAACCTAATATAGCTAATTTCAGTTATACTGATATAATCCCCTATACACCCCTTATAACCCTAATATACAGTTATATTTGTAGTGTTGAAAAGCCTTTTCGTATCGATTTTTAGGATTTAGTGGCGATTGTAAATGATACGATTTCTCAAAATTATATAAATGTGTCAAATTAGTGTGGATATGTATTATAATGTTTTCCGTATCAATTTTATATGGGAAAACCATGGCGATTGTAAAAATGATACGACATCCTTAGTTATTTCTTCAAAAATACTTGCATAATGTAGCGAATGTACAATCGCTACAAAATAATTGCTACAAAAAGTGATTTTTCTTGTGGTGACCTTTTCCACCAACATATATATTTCAAGTGACTGCGCCGCCAAATAAACGAAAACCCTAAGAGAAAATGGTGAAATTAAGAACTTCATTCTTGGAATGACATTTTAATACTTTATGTAAGTGAGATTCCCATTTTTAGATTATACTTACCATTACTAATTGCCCATATCCAATGCTAGAGTGGTATGGTAGAACCAATTAAAAGAGAAGAGTGAAATTAGCAGGAAATGAGTGCTTTGAATTTAGAGGAAATGATTGCTCTGAGTAGTCAAGGAGAGTGAAAATGTTATGTTAGGAGAGAGCTTAAATACGGAGAGAGAATTGCTTTTTTAATGGCTTCTAATGTCGTTAGATTGTCATCTTGAGAAAAAGTCAGTATTTCCCTTAACTTTTCAGATGAAAGGACCAAAAGCCCCCTAGATAAATGGAGCTTGTTTCAAACATGATAAAATTGAATTAGCCCTACTATACCCTACTATAACCCCTACTATAACCCTACTACACCCTACTATACCCTTGGGTAATGGTTACGCTCTTCAGTCAATGAGAGACTCGGACACCTCAACATGAACGTACAATCTGTTACCGAAATATTCGCATCCGAAGATCATGTTATAGGTCGGGAACGGGGAAGCTTGCCTAT